AGACCACCAACCAGGACAAGGGACCCCAGAGCACCCTCCTGATAGTGTGCGTCCCGGAGACCATCAACCAGGACAAGGGACCCCAGAGCACCCTCCTGATAGTTCAGGACCAGACAAGACCGTCTCAGTGCACTCTGATGACAAGGCTGCCCTGAAGCCGGCAGCACCTGAACAGGAGGAAACAATACCCCACCACTCTGACCCCGTTTTTCCCCAGCAGGAGGGAGAAGATAAGTCCCCAAACCCTCCTGAAGGTGTGGCACCCAAGGAAGCTGAGGGAGATGATGTGGAGCCCAAAGAGAAGTCTCCGGCCCAAGAAGGGATGCCAGGCCAGCCCTCCACCGAGAACCATGGCGGTCCACCCGCAGGTTCTAGGAGTGGCAAGATGGATGACCTTTTTAAGGAGGGTCCTGAAAGTGCCAGCGCAGAGAGCAGTCACTTCTTTGCATATCTCGTGACTGCGGCCGTTCTAGTCGCTGCTGTCTATATTGCCTATCACAACAAGCGAAAGGTAAGTCAGCCATGGCTTTAGGACACGAGCAACATTTCCTCTGCTCTAAGGTCTTGGTGTGTGGCCCAGTACCCAGGGTTTGTGCGCACTGGGGAGATGGTGACAGACGTCCTTTTTGCTCAGATCTTTGCTAGGGCTCTTTACTCTTGTAGCTCATCACCCACTCCCTCTCCGTGCCTTCTGCTGTCAAGTTCCCGTATTATTCTGGCCTACCCTACAATGGGTTCTCCTCCAGGCACCGTGAACACGGCTCCTTTGCAGCAGCAGAGGGCCTAGGTGCTTGAGAATTGGAGAGTTGAAGTACTCAGAGCCCTGTCTTCCCGTTTCCACTCCTGCCTTGGAGCTTCTGTCCTCTGTCTGCCCTGGGGAAAGGTGTCCCTCAGCAGAGACCGATGTGGAGCCTCAACGAGGAGCACTGGGACTCCCTTCTGCAGGCTAGGGTTTCTGACACTTAGGAGAAAGCCTGAGATCTCCCGGATGCACACACCTTTCCTCTGGAGCAATGTTGCTGAGGGATCTCTCAGTCCCTTCACAACTACTTTGACTATTAAATGATTCCATTTCCTGTTGGGCCCAAAGGTTTAGAAGACTGGCCGTCCGCCTGTAGAGGGATAGAGGTGTTCCTGACTGCACATCTAAGTGACCCCGCTGTTCAGCACTGGG